AAACCTTACAGATTTTGAGTGTAAAATGCCCAACAACTCTGCCGAGTCTCCTTTGCTGTGACGAATGGAATAAACCGCTAACAGTAAACAGGATACTGATACACAGACGCGGCTTCCCGTGAAGCTAATTCAACCGAGTGCAATACCGAACTTTCAAGACCTATTAAAACGGCAGGCAACCACAATGATCATTAATTTCACCCTCATCCACCACTCAGAGTGGACCATCTATCTCAAGAGCTGACGGGAAATTTGGAAATCTGAGCTCAGAATTACAAGGCTGCATCAAGTGGTTATTTTACAAGGGATTCGTCAACACAACCACCCGATGTGGTCATTGACTTCCTTCCCATCGGAATACAGCACCTCTCCTCTTTAATCGGGACTACCATTGGAAATGTACCCAAGAACATCCGCTAACTGTGCTCTCCCAAAAGCTACCAAACTGCATGTATTCTTTTAATCACTATGACCAAGTGTTCATGCCTCGTTCTCATAGTCTTCCATTTTTCGAGAATAAAGTTGACATACGGAGAATTTTACGAGCTTAGGAGGCACATAGTCCTCCAAAGTATAAGTTCAGCGATCTGTAGTTGTAGGAACACCAAACGACTCGAGCATTTATTACGCAACAACCCTGGATAGTTCGGATTAATCACTGGTTCGTGTTTCGAAAATGTCGTCAAAAGCCGACTCCGATTAACATGCCAGTGACAGCCTAGTAAAGTATAGGGGCAGACGGTTGTAGAAGGAACTTCTTAGTTATTCACTTATTCTGCTAGGACGTTTGTTGGGTAGCATTTTATATGTAGAGGCCTCCGAAGTGTTCTCTTTTATACATCTGGGTGTTGTTTTCCCGGAACTGACATCCAGGTTTCGCCGCCTGTTTGTCTGCACCAGCGTTATTTTATCTCCACCTGTCGTCCCGCAGCCGCCTGCATACCCTTTGATTCAGCTTTGGTTTCGGTCATCATCATTGTCAGCTGTAAGATCCGCGTCTTGGACAGTGGCTGTAGCTGCCACAGATTCGTTCACCGATGATTTGGGGAGGCGCACTGGGCACGGGAGCTGATAAATTAGTACGTAAATACAGCACTGTCAGTGGACCGTCAAGTGGGGGATTCAGAAGGGAGCTATTCATTAAAGGCGATAGCTTGGATGAACGAGCGCCACTGAGCCGTGTTTGACAATGTCTCCACCTATTGATGTGGCTCGTCTTGGTAGACTGGTATTGCTCCCGAACCGCCTAACATTTCGCGAAACTGAGTTGCGTCCTCAATGACCTAGACTGAAGTCAAAACAGAGCTCGTTCCAAATTACGTTGTCCTACTTTTCTAGGTAGCGCGAATTTACTGTCCACAGGGTCCGTGGTTCGAACCCGACCTCTGCCTCTCGACTCCCCTGTCTAGGGTTGGGCGATCTGGCAGTATAACAGCCCTCGTGCCTTCTTCCCGTGGCATGGCAGCTAGGCACCGAAAGGGTGTTACAGCTGAACGAATACCGACTATAATGCTACATGCCATGATTGTGACGGATGGGCCTTCTATCAAATCATTCGATGGTGTAAATGATTTGGTTGCGAAACAAATCCGCTGCCCCTTTTTGCGAAGATTTCCAAGGCGCTTCAAGTTAGCCCTGACACAATGCGACGCACCAGAGTTGACCCAGTGAGCCTGTAACAAGTTCACGGTGAAAGGAGGACTGAGTGGGCATGTCTATTCGCCTAATGATTCACATTAATACACAAAAAGCAGTGCCTAAGGAGGGAAAGCCCCAGTTGTTGGAGGGGTGAATATCTGGGGAAAATCCCTAACCTGCAGATAAGTGATCGAGAACAAGGTGTCTACCTCTTCGAGCAGCAGTGAGATGACTAAGGGATGGCTTAGTAGTTAAAGCGCAAATTTACTGACCAGAAGGTCCCTGAATCGAACCTGACCTCTGCCTCTCGACTTCTGTCTAGTCTTTGGCAACCTTACAGTTTTCCGCCCCTCGTGCTTCCTTCGGGTGGCATGGCATATAAGCACCGAAGGGGTTACATGAACGAAATTAGGCTAATGGAGCATTATGTTGGTATACAGCATCAGCAAGATAAACCCATCATTACCTGTGGACCATACCCAACACGAACACAAGGCTCAATGACAAACGAACCGAATAGGCAATCCAGTTGCAATTCGACAGCCCGCTATGGGAACGGTGACGTGTCCCGCCCTGTGTGGATTATGAACACCGCGGCCCTATCAGTAAAAAACGAAGATTCCATAAAACTCCTTCCGATGGTAACCGCTTTCACTTCGCGTGTATGTCATGGCCTGTTGCGCGCGGAAGTATTAGCAGCAAATCTTTATCATCAATCAGAGCATCACAAAATGCATATCGGCGGCAAAATTTGTCACCTTATCGAGGGCACGGTGCGTTGCGACCGTGCCGTTTACATATCTACCAACTCTTCAACTCTATTACTTGTACCATCGAATTTCATGACTTTGTTCACGCGTTGTCTCCGAACCGGTTGGTCCCAACCACGTCTGTCTCCTTTACTCTCGTTGATGTACATTTCGATCCACATATATTAGGACGACTGGTAGAACTTCGAAAATGTCCATAACAAGACAGGACAAGACTCACCCAGCGATCCGCATAACAAAGACAACACACACGAGCAGATCAAACGCCTTAATCCTTCATCCTAAGTCAATTCAGATAACACACTAATTACGCAAATGCACAACCGTTAATTGATGTTGCGCAATTACACTTATATCCGCTACATACACTCTTGCACGACTGAGAAAGTTACATACAATACGATCCTTGAAACACCCTATGGATTCAGAATATGATACGTGGGTTCAGAGCAAATGTTTTGGTACGACAACACAAACACCATGTGAGAAATAAACTCAACGACAGCCGAAACTCTTCAGGCAATATCCTTAATTGGGAACCTGACACCATGTATGGGTCTTATGCAGCAAATATGTCGATAGTGAGATGTCACTGTCATAACATGAAGGGGTGTCTAACCTTCTGAAGCAGCTACCAGGCAATATCTCAAAATAATGACACGAACTCCTTCTAGTAATGAGAAAAAGCGCAATATCGAGGGGGGCTTGGTGCTTACTAGCGCAGAAGAAACATCCTACAGGCAGTACCTACCCAAACGGCATTCGCAGACTCATAAGCATGTCAAAAAACAGAGTATTCCGCAGTCGAAAAACATGGCCGCCAAGAGCGTAGATGGCACTCCGCCATATTGACAGCGACCTTGAGAATTGATATGATGAAGTGATTAATTGATTAAGGCCTGAGTGTAAGGTGACCGTCAAAGCTCCTTGGATCAAGTGAATGAGTAACTGACACTTGACTTTTTCCCACGCCGTGCACGCCTGCCTACGCCTTGAGTTGGCCATTCAGGTCGTATACTCAAAAATGTTCAAAAGTGCAATATTTAGCTACATAGATCGAAGGAGTGAAGGCAACCAAACGGGTTTCTCACTGAGATAGAGAAATGGGTAATCCAGGACGAATCCAGTAGTGGTAAATGAAGCGCGTAGAGCACGCCACGGAGGCCTGCAACCGGTCCCAGTGGCCCCATCACATCCAGTATTGGGAAGACGCTAAGAAAACCCGTAAACACTAAGATAGGAAGCAGACAAATATGCCGCAGATGCGCCCTCGAAGCAGTGGACCGAACTTCGGCATACAGCTCATAAATCTGCTAACATATCTGTTGCACACTTTCCGGCTCCTCACCTTCAAGGAGGCAGAGACAGCATTGAAGTACTTCTACACAAACTGCCTCAGGCTTTTCAAAAAGCGTTACAACATCCAACGATCAGTTTGCCCTAAACCGCCGCCCATGATCGTACTCACAACTACCTGGCTCACACGAGATGTCTCTGACCCAGAGATCTCGATAGACTGCTACTCTGTTTTTCAGGCTTACTCAAAACAAGGGAGGGCTGGTGAGTTTGTTCTATACTTACATGCAGCTGCAGGTCTATTAGCCTAACTAACATACCGCACAAGAACGCATCCCGAGCTCTCTTAGGTCATCTCGCCAAAAGCAACTTGAGATCTCCAGTTAAACGAGGATTCCATCAAACTATTCTTGCGTGATCAACATGCTCGTATTTATGGACGGCCTAACCCAACCCGGAGACGAGGGACTCATTTCGGATGCCACATATTTCGATTTCCCAAAAACATTAGGTCGAGACCCACACGTCTTGCTGCTCCACAAACTCGGGGCTAGAAAGATGCATGGTTTAAGGCGTTTCTATCAGACAGTACATTCCGATTTAAAGTATGTTTGACCTACTCTTCTCTGGCGGCGGTCTCCAATGCAGTTTCCCAAGGCTTCGTTTTTGGACGCGTTGCTGATTCTTATATATGTCAATGGCCTTACAGATGTTCTTCAAAAGTCTATGTCTAATGTCTCGGGCCACTTGAAATCCTGGAGTCTTATTGCCAGTGTCCTCCAAATGTATGTAAACCTCGTGGAGCAGTGGCCGTTGGGCTGACAGATTTCCCTGAATTACGGAAAGCTCGTCAATACGTCATTCCAAAGGAGACCTAGTGAACGCCCTCATCACGCATGGTGCGAATGAGTCACAAAATATCTCGAAATGAATGGCCAAATGGATCTGTGTGTCGGGCTCTCTAGAAACGCGTCCCCACTGAACCATGAAAAACGGCTTAAAAGGCATTCGCCATCCTAAGAATGATTCAGTGCAGCCTTTCCCGTGTAGCTCTCATGGACTTCTGAATACTCTGAGGCCGTCAAGCAGCTTCTTGAATAGGCCAACCAAGTTATCGACTCAGGACGCGAGATGGACGTAGCTCACATCGGGCGTTCCAGGGAGCTGCTACGAAAGTGGTTTCAAGCCTTAAACTCGTAGACTAAGTAGCGCGTCTCGTGATGCTTGACCTCTTACCTCTGGAGTACCATCGCTTCCTGGGGGAAATAATAATCAATTTTGCTCCGTCTGGACAAGGTTTGGCAACAGGTTTTTCACCGATGACCCGGCAAACACATCCAGGACATCTCATGCTCAGAGCGCCCACTTCTCATTTCGAGCAGTTGAAGCGTGGAATAACCTTCCTCCAACGGTTGTCCACGCGCCATCTAGAACCCGTTTCAATGCGCCATTAAACACTATAAATGCGAGTCCTTATGCTGGAAAGTTCATTGTCCCGGGCTGAGAATTTAAAGGGCAGTGATACAACTTTTTATCGCTTGTGCTTTTCAGATGACAGGCAGTCGCTAAAAGACAAGAACAAAATCGACCCGTTAAGCTTGGGCGAAGGCCTCAATCCTGTGTATCAATCCGTGAATTTGCGAATCCCATTTTCACGTAATATGGTGTTTATCATATCTTGTTCATCCAGTTGATGTCAGCTCTGAAATAAACATCGCCCACTTCAGCAAAATATACATGCCCCAAGTTCAGTCAGCCACCCTAGGAAAGCAACCTTACTTCTGCTTTGAAAAAGACTATCATCACGCCACTCTACCCGCTAATCGCCTGGAACCTACAAGTCCATTAGTCTCACTGACATGTCACGCAAAGGAGCACTCTGAAGCCAACATTTTAACTCACCATATTATTACCAGATCCATTCTCTGGGTGCGACACGGATGCCCCACAAACCGTTCTTGTGTGACAAAATAGCTCGCATTTGTGAGGGGTTTACCACGAGCCAATAACCAAAGACACATAGCAGACACAACTTTTTTGAACTCGCCAAAAGCCTCTGGTCAAACTCCACAAGTTCCACTACTCCACACACTCGAGTCTTGTAGGATTCAAGGAGAAATTGCACGTTGAATTAAGGCTTTACTCTCAAGCAAACCATTCTGAGTGAAATTCGGAGCAATTTTCTCTTCTCCTGAACCGGTCTCTATTAGAGTTCTTCAAATATCCTATTAATACCGTTCCTCTCTGTGATATAATTCACCGACTTCGTGGATGCGCCTGCAAGTTCATATCTAAATTTGTGAATAACCTTGAATCCTGGGGTCCCAATATCTCTGAAAGGGTTATTAAGGCGCGCGTCTCTCGTTGGATGATTCTATGTGCCTTCTGAGTTGTACAAATGGACTTCCAGATACTGTATTTTTACTTCAGGTCATTTTCTGAATACACGCAGCACACTGTCCACTTAGGACGCTAGAAGGACACAGACACTTTCCCCTCAAAGTATCATCGCTTCGGGGGGATCTGATATTCATTTTGACATTTCTGGGCAGGGCTCTGCCGATAAGTGTTTTTCATCTTGTTGTGATGATACTTGCCGCCACGGTACACAGCTTAGCAAGATAAGAGTAAGAAATTTCAATTGAACAGCAGTTATTTCCCATTTCCAGCTGCTTTTGTGTGTGGTGGTTCTACGCGGATGGTTCGGATTAATTTCGGATGCGTTCTATATGAGTTCTTTCTATGAACAATATACTTAGCAATAATGACGACGTAAAAAGCGGTGTCAACACTTTGCCTGTACCATTCGAGGTCATCGAATGGGTTGCCGAACGATGGGAGCCAACGGACCTTCTGGAAGGTTGAGCGAGGACCAGATCCAGTTTATCGGTTTGTGTCCGAAAACTGATATGTTGATAAATATGGAAACCCGAGACAGCCTGAGCTGTGTTTAGCAGCTGGTGGCGGCAATCAATTCGGGGAAATTCTCTTCATATTTTACAACTCGCAAAGATACAAGGTTTCATTGTATGACTTTGGGCGAAATAACCTTGCACTGACTTTTTGCACCGTGACACAGTGTAGAGTAACACTCCTGAGGAACTTAGAAAGGACAATAATTTTTGGACTGAACCCCGACAATCGGGTAGAGAACGAAATTTCTAAGTGTTTGCCGCGGTTTGAGAACCAAAAAACCAGTGAACATCATCCTGTCACTCTGTAGAAACCTTTCAACACTTTAGCAGTTATTTCGCAATAAAGAACTCGCTTCTCAAGTGCTTCTCCAGTGGGTTGATGTAGGAACAATAGAGCCCCTGAAATCAGCGTGCATCAATTTAAGGAAGAATCCTCTTTTCGATCACTTTCGCGGCGGTGTATGCGTTGTTTGTCGTTTTCTTATCGTGGAGTCGGAAAGATGTTGTGAAAGGCCACCCAGTACCCGGATTCGTGTTCGGATGCTTTCCCGCTTACTCATGCCTCAAGAAAATATGTCTATAGACTCTACAGAAGGAGACATGTGCCTCCTCTTCACCGTTTGGCGGGTGTTTCAGACTAGCGTCGACCCGACTGGGTCACTGACTGTCTGAAACTTATTGTTATTGAGATTTTGAGTCTGAAAACCTCGGCGATTTAATGTTTGTTCCCATTACACTGTTAGAGAGATAATTAACTTAGACTAAAAATTATTGCGGAGAACCCCGAAGGACTTCAGTGGTTACCGGCGACGAAGAGGAGTCGGTTGTAAAGGAGGTCGCGCAATCCACCGTGATATCACCTGCTGGCCGTAAACTTTGAGCTTGCATAATGGTGGAAAATGAAGCACTTAACAGAGGCCAGTGTGAAGTTAAAAAATGCAACGTGACGAGTCAGGTATCCATGTTTGCGTCACATGAGCTCTTGAGCACGGGTCTGTCTCAGAGTCAGGTATCCATAATACGGGCATGTTAGCGACACATGAGCTCTTGAGCACGGGTCTGTCTCCTGGGACTGTGCAAGCTCTTGGTGTTAAAACGTTCTAGAAGGCTTCACTTCTGGCTAATTTCCGTCACTTGCTTGGCATGCTCATGTAGCTGATTGGTCAACAGCTGACTGGCAACAAACTCTGACGCTGCTTAAAAATAATTGCAATGGTAATTTTTGATATTAGACCCGCCGATTAACTGACCAAACAACTGCCGACGCAAGCCGCTCATCAGCTGCTGCAATGTCTCCTTCGGCGTACTGTGGCAAGGTTCGTTCACTCTTTAGGGAGCGAGGGAAATCAGACCAACCATAATTTCATAAACGTCTACGACTGTAAATTCCATACCCTGAGCACTTTTGTGGCTGGAAAGATGGGTGTGCTGAAAGGCACGAGATAATGATAGATGTCACGGAGCGCTCTAAGAAGTGCTATCAAGGCACCCTGGTAGAAAATGGGCTAGAAAGAATTGCTACTGGAGCCCAATGCTGTGAGCTTTGTTGTCCTTTCATCGCAGTGGTTGCTGGTATTCAGCAATTTTCAGAAACATGTGCACGTTCGTCAAATTCTGT